TCCACGCCTCTTTCGACGTTACACGATCGGCGATCGCGACGTAGCGACAGACTCGCCGTTATAACCCCCAACAATAGTATAGAAATCATGAAAGTCTATCAAAACTTCTATTACTACTGATCATACCTAAGATATTGTCAAGGTTACGAATATAAAGTAAAGTTTAAAGATAATTTTTTTTTGAAGTATTTTATACTGTAGTATATACAGTATGATATACAAAATTGAAAAATCGCTAGTATCATGTGAATAAATTATAGTATTATTAAATTTAACGAAATTTGTATCGGAACTCAATAAAATTGATATAATCATGATGAAGGCACCTCATCCGAAAAGAAACTTCATATTGATATACAGGTAGTATCCAAAGATTTCATAATACGATAATTACAATCACGATTTGTAGATTTTATAATACAATAACTGTATTTACAATTATTAAATTTTTTCCGTATTTGATTACATCAAGCAAGATACTAACTATACTTATAAGGGAAATCTGATCTGACCATCTAAAGCTTTGGATTTAATCGGGACTGAAACTATGAAAGACAAAAAGAAATTATTTTGATGGTATCTATAATAATTAATTCTGATTATACTAAGGTTAACGTAATTCAAATCCTAAAGACAGAACTTAAGTATTTTTTTAACAGTTTCTGTTTTGCAAGTTTATATTAGTAATGTTTTTTAATTAATATATTATTTTTCTGATTGGTTCAAAAAGTCTTTTTTATTTTTTTCTTACTACTGATAATTTTTTAAAAAAAGAATTATTTTAATTAAAGATCGAATAATTAAGATTTTTTTTTTTTTTTTTTATACGTATTAGCTTTTTTTTTTTTTTGTATATATACATGCATAAATATTAGCTAAAAAATAATTTTTTTATATATGTACGTGCGTAAATATTTGCTAATTTTTTTTTTTTAACAACAGAAATCATTAACTCCGATGTTTTTAAATTGTTTAAATTTAGAGATACTTATTTTTATTAAAAATTCAAACCAAATTATTATTACATGTTTTTTTTTTAACTTGCCAATTAATTCGAGTATAATTATTAATATAACGAACTATTTTAAATTTAAGATCCGATACAATTAATTTACCTATTTACCATAATCATCAAAATAAAGTTAGAAAATTATTCATTAATAACAAATTTATACTTGCAAATTAATTCTTACCTGTGACCTACCTGTACCCTCCCTCCATCCCTAACCTCCCACCAAACCGTACCTACAAAATTTATCAGTATATAGAAAATGAAATCTTACCTTCGACCTACCTGTGCCCTCCCTCCATCCCTAACCTCCCACCAAACCATACCTACAAAATTCGTTAGTATATAAAAAAATGAAACCCTACCTGCGACTTACCTGTACCCTCCCTCCATCCCTAACCTCCCACCAAACCGTACCTACAAAATTCATTAGTATATAAAAATGAAATCCTACCTGCGACCTACCTGTGCCCTCCCTCCATCCCTATCCTCCCACCAAACCGTACCTACAAAATTCATTAGTATGTAGAAAATGAAATCCTACCTGCGATCTACCTGTGCCCTCCCTCCATCCCTAACCTTCCCACCAAACCATACCTATAAAATTCATTAGTATATAGAAAATGGAATTCTACCTGCGGCCTATCGTTGCCCTCCCCTCATCCCTAACTTTCCACTAAACTATATCTACAAAATTCAATAGTATATAGAAAATAAAATAGTTTGATGCATGTAAAGAAGAGAGATTAGCATTTTAGTAAATAAACAATAAAGTACAGTTTAAAAATAGACTCCTACCTTGTTTTCAAGTGCGCCAAAAATACTTGCAACTTGTGCTACGCGACTAAGCGAGAGAACTGAGGTTTGTCTAAGGAAATTGACATAGGAAGGGTTCTATATTAGTCGATAGAGGGATTAACAGCAACAAGATACTGTATCAGCTTTATCTAGTCTGAATGCGAAAGCCTTTTTCTTTGTTGTTCTTTCCATCTATTTCAAAGATAAGTTGATCTTTCTTCTTCTTCCTCGGATGCTCTATAAAAAGAGACGTGTCAACAAAGAGATCAAAAGCAACAAAGTTGATAAATCGCTTACAAAACCTCTGGCTTTACAATTTTCTGGGTCTAAATATGTATCACCATATATAGTAGTAGTTAAACAAGCGTCATATTCTTTATATGCTTTTAGAGAATTTCTGTAGATGTCGCCAAAATCTGGTAAGTAATAATAAAAACAGTACTGTACACAATATCTTGTTTTCACGTTCCAAGAAAGACGAAAGTGTGTAAGATTTTTTGTGAATTTTTTACGTACTTGTTACGTGACGTGATTTTTAGGTGATGCATGTAATAATCGCTTTGATCACATGACAACTCAACAAACTACGTAATTTTATGTCGCCCAGCAATTTTTAACTTTTCCCTAAAATTCTGATTTAAGCATGGCTTATATCATACGTGAAGCCTGTTTCATCACGGAAATTGGATAATACAATATGACTTAAGTGCAAGAGCATTAACTGATTCATTCGGTTCAAGTTCCGGGCATTATGGACAAGTCGTAAATATACTTCAGAATGCAGGCTTTGTTCGCGTTCGATATAATGTATTCCGCCACAGGCATGGTTGTCATCTTCAGCATGCAATACAAACCGTGGGTATTATCAGACTATTACCATGGGCAGGTGGTATCTCTCCAAATGGGGAT